TGCACTTTGGATGGGTTAAATGCAGAGCACTAATTCCAAGTATGGGTCACCATACTTGGCCACATGTCACGTCACGTCACTTTAACAAATTCTCATCAAACGTAATTTATTCCAAGTGCGCTCTTTTATCTGGTTCATGAGCGATGCCCCATTCACGAATGAATCTCTCTTTTGAGTCGATTCAGTTCAAGGTCTTGAATAAAGAAGCCTACAAAATGGTGTGCATTTGTTCACGAATCACTTTGAATGATTTGTTCAGTTCCCTGCAAGCATTAATTTAAGAACAGGGAGAACATAAAGACCTTCAGACAATTTAAGCTAAATCTGCAAATTCTGCTGTTGTCCTGCGCTGAGGATCTTTATTAGCTGAACACTGTGTGTGTCGTCTGTGAACGACTCCACAGGAATACATTTGATTTCATTTAGGTGATATTTTGTAGTAGTGATATAAGAAGCTGTCATGTGAAATGTGTAAAGTGAAATGAATGAAAGGTGTCGATCTCGCAATTTCATTTATGGTAGATTTGCTTTATTACATTGCATCACATTTCTTTTTGAGCACAGTCTGCAGTGCTGTGCATTATAACCAATCACAGAGAAACACAGCACTCCATGACTTCAGTCTCAAATGGAGTTCGGCAAGTTATTTATTCCCAGTTTGAATAACCATTTTGTTTCTCATACTGCTGAAATAACAATATTGTGAAGTCTTGATTGTTTAATCTGTAAAATGTAATTCATAAACAGTTCATGCTTTTCCCCTTGAAACAACACAGATACAATTTACTTAAATATGAATCTTGAATAAAAGCTTTATAAACAGTAACATATCACTGTTTGTTGTGTTTGTTTTAATACAGTAATTGATTGTTTTGATAGTTAAAATTATTCAGGTTTTTGTCACCACCGTCAGATGAATATTTTGATCATATTTGATTATGATATTTTATATTTGTTGAGGAATTGTTGGTTACATGTGAAAGTGTAATAGGTCTGCTAACATGAGAATGTGTTTTGAAATGTTATTTCTGAAGGATCATGTGACACTGAAGACTGGAAAAAAATCTAACCGACCACAAACTTTTGAATGGAAGTGTACATAGTTTATACCACAATTATAAGACAATATTTTGGTAATGATAAACTTTAAGTAACATTAATGACTAGAAACGTTTTCAATTCACCCTCCATTGGCAGGTGTAGCAAAAAGTACATTTGGACCCTGCTTGTGAGATTATGTAAGACTGGCATGCACTCATATACTTACTGTCACGGTGGTGTGGAGGTGGAAAGGTGGGATATGAATCACAAGGCCCGGGAATGATGTGAATATCATCAATAGCTATACTTCCTTTGGGACCTGCTCCCTTCAGGAATTCAAATATAAACTGTGGAGAGAAGAGAAAAACAATGATATACTGTACAAATGTTTTGTTTTGAGTGAATCTTAGAATGATTCAAGTTGATCCTGTGAAGTCTGCATGATGGAGTTTGATACCCAGAAAGGCTCTCGGTATGCTACATAGACGTTGCCTCTCCTCCACACATCGCCCTGATCTCCTGACTCCTCCCATACTAATTGGCCAAACTTATTCCCGCTGTTATGGGCGGTCCTGGGAAAGAATCGTCTCCATGAATTGTGATCAATGTACATATTGATAAAAGGTGTTTTTTGGCCATGGTCCTGTACCTGTTATTTTTGTATAAATTGAGCGTTCCAACATTGTATCCATACATATGATACCAGAATGTGAAGCAGTGCCCTCTGCTGTCAGGGGTGAATATCTCACTCAGGATCATGGCAGTATCTCCCCAGGCCCCCACAGAACTGTCCATATAAAGGTAATAACCTAAAAACATACGAGCATCACTGTCACTGTTTACACCTGGTATTTAAATGAAAGTGTCACCACTTGTGTGCAGGACAGAATTGATTTAGATTTTCATTGAATTAATTATTTTGTATACATCTACTCAAGTGAGGACTTTAATTTTGAAAAGCAATCACATAGTTCAAGAAGCAGGAAGTTCGAGCAGTACTGCAGTGAGTCAGCAGAATGTTGTAGCTGTTCTGAGTGAGGCTCATTCTGAAATATCTTCTTTCTTCTGTTAGGCGCAATGTCTGTGATTACGCAGTGTTGAAGATATTGTGTGATACATATAAGAATGTTATTTTGATATATCCAACAAACTAGATGCTCTTAAGTACTGTTTACTAAAGTTGTTTAGTTTAACTATTGCATCCACCTGAAAGTTCACATAACACAGTGTAATTAAGTAAATTCAACAAATTTGTAAAAATCAGTTATGTTTACTCGCTTTTCTTAAGTAGATTCAGTGATTACTTTTTACAGTGTACAAATTCTTTTTTGAGCAATTTATTTTTGATTATCAGGGTATGTATAATAAGCCAGTTGCCATGACACTGCTTTTTTGAAATGATTACTTTTATGGTTTTATGGATGATTTTCAAAGCAGTTAAATAAAAACTAATTTCTTGTTAACTGTGTGTGTGTTTGAACACTTCGGTCTCAAATATTATTGCAGGGAAAGTGGTAATTAGGGTCAGATGTTATAGGTCGTTAAGAAGGCATGAGGAACCACATCAGCTCGAGGTAACTTAAATACATACAGGATTTAGTTCATGTTGAAAAGTAACTTTTTGATAATAAAATGGTTTTCAACGTAGCCTATTAGTTATCTCACAGTCCATAGCAACAGTAGCTGAATAATTTAGTAAGGAAGCACCTTCAGCAGTTAGGATTAAAACAAAACAGAATGGGATTCAAAATGCTTTTCTGTGCTTAATGACATTATTTATGTAGTAATGGTCATTTTAACCTCTGAGCAGTGTTCAGGGTATTTCAGGACCTCAAATGACATTTGCTTGAATAAAAAAAATTAAATAAAAAGTGTTCCCTTCATCTAAATGACATGACACTTGATTACTTTTTTTACACTTGCTACACAAAAAAAAAACAGAAATTGGAATGTCTGATTGTACATTAGTGTAATAAAGTCACTCAGGATGTTCATCTAGTCAGTGTCTTTAGTTTAAATTCCACGTTATTTTAATTTTAAAGGTGTTTTCCAGTAGATGACAGTAATCTTTCACTAAACTATGGAAGACATTTTTCATATCACCATGAATGAAACCAAGAAATTTAGATATTCTTTAAAGTCAACTCTACATATTTATTTTGTATAAACATGTAATACTTTTTTTTCCAAAAAATTGAGGCAAAAAAAAGTTTAAACAAAAATACCATACCAACTGTATAGTAAAAACATTAAAGTGAGTGATATTACAAGTCATGATTGTTATAAAATCATATTTTACTAAACAGCCACAGTGTACACTCTAACTGAACAGCTCACAATGGTTAAATAAAGATGTGAAATATATGTCTTTCTATCACTTTCTTCAGTTTACACTTGAAGCCAACACTCCACTTCAAGTGGCAGCATATACAATGCTATTGTGCTGCTGGAAGTAGTTTGTGCAACCATCTGGTTACTTTACCAGACAGCACATTTTAGTACAATTGGAACCAAAAATGTTCCAGCTGCCCTTGCATGCACAAGCAAACAGCAGGCCTGGCATAGGCTCCGAACCCAGGTAAATATAAATAAATAAAGACAGAAACCTCATTCGTCAGTTTTTAACCATTTTAATTTGCCAACCATTAACAAATAAAATTAATTTAAAATGCATAATGTGCAAATCAGAGTGCAATCTAGTGCAAGATATACATGTTTTGTCAGGGCATCACTCCCATACCAGTCGATGAGCTTGTGGTGCGCAAACCGAAAGCCTCTGGTCGGAGCTCTATGCATTCTACTCTGTACAAAGCATATGGAGGTGATATCCAAATACTAATAAAACACATCTTCATATTAGGTAACAATTAAAACACTGAGGCATGAACTTTTCTTTAGGACCTTTACCTGACAATGATGTCATTGCTGGAGCAGCATCCCTCATTTCCCGTTGTCCACAACCACTGATAGCGAAGATAGTTGATGGAATGTCTGCTCTAACCATGGTGTCTTCTAAATTTGGAGAGGTCCCAAAAGGATCACTGCTGTCATACCAGTGTCCAGCTGTGCTGTCAAAGGATGTACTTACAAATCCAAATGCTCCACAATTCCCCCCATTACCTGTCCCGCAATACAAGCTTCCACCTGCATATGCAGAGTCTGGAGGTGACATCTGAAATGACAGGGATCATTGAGGAGGGAACACGTGATCAATCAAAAAGCCCACTATATGGCCTGGTAGAAGTTAAGTGCCCTGATGTGAAAGACATTGGAGAGGCATCACACATTGAGTTTGTTGGGGGCCAAGCAAAACTAAGAAAAACACACACCTACCATTGGCAAGTCCAAGGTCAGCTGATGGTTACTGGCTTAGCTTGGTGTGATCTGGTGACAAATACAAGGGGTGACTTCAATGTAGATAGGGTGTGTAGAGACGATGAGCTGATCAAAGAGATCAAGGCTAAAGTTGATGAATTCTACTTTGGCACATACATTGATGTTTTGCTAGGAAGAAAATAGGCAAGAAAAAGTGACCAACAAATGATGTTCCTATTATTCACTGTTCTATAGTGAATACAGTTCTACAGGGTTATATATGTTTACAAGAAAAAGCAGTTACTTTCTAATTAAAGGGATATTTCACCCACAAAGGAAATGTTGTAATTTACTCACACACAAGTTGTTTCAAACATGTACAAATTTCTTCTGTTGATATTTTAAAGAATGCGTGTAACCAAACAGTTGCTTGTTTCCATTCACGTCCATAGTATTTTTCTTCACGCTGTGGAAGTGAATGGGGACGAGCAATTGTTTGGTTACACACATTCTTCAAAACATCTTTTTACGTTCAACAGAACAAATTCGAAACAACTTGAGGGTGAGTAAATGACAAATTTCATTTTTGGGTGAACTACCCCTATAAGTCATGCTTCAATTAATTACATTAAAAGTAAATAATGTTCACTGTAGACTGTGGGATTTTTTTATAACTTGTAACCATTTGATTTAGATTAAGCTTTATGATAGGTCTTACTCAGATCTTTATTTCCAAATATTGAATATTTATTGTTGCAACATACCTATCCTAAACTGGAAAGATGACATGTCCGGAGGGGTTGATATGATCTGCAGTATCCTCTCAGATTCTGAACACAAGTAAAGAGTTAGATTTTTATTAAAATTGTATGATTTTATTTATTTATTTTAATTTAGTTATTGTATTAGTTGACGCTACACTCATCCGGGGCTGGACGGCTTATGTAATCATGCTCCTCCTGCACCAGCACTCTCCATTTCGACATCCAACGTTACTGCTTTCTCTGCACCACAAACACCTCTTTTTGATGTCCGAGTCTAGCGTGATTTAACTTCTCCCCAACTGTTCCACGCAAACCTGGAAGGCACAACCTTACGACCGGACTCTGGATGGACACGGACCTCATCCTCCATGAAGTGCTTAAGTGCCGGCAGCCATATCACCCTGTAGCCCAAGACTGGTTACCCACTGAAGCTAAGCAGGGCTGAGCCTGGTCAGTACCTGGATGGGAGACCTCCTGGGAAAAACTAGGTTGCTGCTGGAAGAGGTGTTAGTGAGGCCAGCAGGGGGTGCTCACCCTGTGGTCTGTGTGGGTCCGAACGCCCCAGTGTAGTGACGGGGACACTTTCTTTCGAAAAGAGTAGAGGTGTGACCTCGGCATCCTGGCCAAATTTGCCCATTGGCCTCTGATCATCATGGCCTCCTAACAATCCCCATATCTGCTGATTGGCTTCATCACTCTGTCTCCTCTCCACCAATAAGCTGGTGTGTGGTGGGCATCTGGCGCACTATGGCTGCCGTCGCATCATCCAGGTGGATGCTGCACACTGGTGGTGGATGAGGAGATTCCCCCTGACAATGTAAAGCGCGTTGAGTGCCTAGAAAAGCGCTATATAAAATGTAATGAATTAATTAAATTAACAGTTAGCACAAAACTGCTACCTTTCCTCACAGTAAATGCCGCCCCATCTTTTCTCCGTATGGTCCAAACCCAACGCTTTCTTAAATTTTCGTGGGTGGGAAAACTATGAAATAAGTAAGGTTGCTTTTTCTTTAAATTAGAACACAAAGGTACACTACACGACTGATTACTTTTGGACTCCGCCATTGTTCGGCAAGCGAATTAAGCTAGCACTTTCACCGGAAAATATTTTTCCCTACTTCCGGTTTGCCTACGTCACGTTGTGAAATGGGCCTATTCTGACAGTTATCATGTTTTTGACAATTCTGCAGGATGGGATACAGTTTTAGCTTTTTACTGCTTAAATTATTATTAGAATAATTGTGTAATTATTTGTTCCATTTTTATTTCAATAATTTCACACTTTTAAAACTTTTTAATGCCGTACATTATGTATGACAGATAGGATAATTTATTATGCCTATATATTATTAAGATTTATAAACGATAAATCAATTAATATAACATTAATTGTAATATATGTATTTATCTGTCTAATAATACAAATACAATAGTTACTCATCTACCAAGCTCTGAAAAGCTAAGGAAATTAAATACTCCTCAGCAAACTGTGCAGTTCGCCTGTACATTTATCTTATTTGAAGATGTTTTATGGTCATTGTTTGTTTTCAACTGTTTTCTTTATACTTAAATTTACATTACATCATTTATTTTCTGTTGTCTATTACTATAAAAACAAACTCAGTAACTCAGTGATGTATTTTTGATTTTGGCAGATAAGCTCCTCCTCCCACATGTTCACTGGTAGTGAAGTTCCGCCCACTGCAGCACATCATCAGTGAAGCTCCTCCCACTGTAATTCACCAATAAATGCTGGAATATCTCCATCAGTTCACAAGTGAAGACGAGCATCAAATCATCAGGAAGAGCTGAAATCTGCAAAGACTGAGTTTATTAAAGAGGACAGAGAGAAGATGAGAGATCCAGAACCCTGCAGAATCAAACACACTGAAGATACTGAAGAACTAACAGGTTGGTGTTTATTCTTCATTAATGAGGCTGAATGTTATAAAGCTTCAAACAGTATTAGTTTTGTTGTAACAGAAAAATTCTTTAGAGCTGTTGAATAATCTAGAGGAAGCATCATATAATAAGAGACTTTCTATGATATGGGTACTTTTTTAACAAAATTAATGTACGTTATATAATTTTGTTATTGATCAAACATATTTAATAGTTCCCTTTCATGGGAACTTCGAACTGCGTCCTCTAGGGGTCGCTATGGGGGAACGCCTCGTCGTGACCCGTGTCTGAAGCATACATTGAAAAAACACCAACTCGTTGGCTGGCGACAGCCATGACGTCGCTACCGGTGCGACTATAGTATAAATAGGCGCCGGGAGCTACACATCATTCTCTTCTTCGTCTTCATTGACTGTTTTGTTTGA